CTACACTTGGCTGAAACTACCATGCCGAAACACAAAGGTTGAAAATCATGATCTTGGAGGAAGTTCAACCTGTCCGGAACCTAGAGATGGCCCGCTGGAAATTGAATTGCTCAATTAATGGAACTGTTAAACTTCTGACGAACCACAGAACTAAATTTCTGACACTTTGGCATCCACTTTGTCTAAAGAAAAGCAGAGCAACACAAATACCTATCTTAAAGCTCCAGGTATTCTCTAAATCCATGGAATGAAGTTTTACATGGTCAATCTTCAGAACTGACATGTGCATAGATACAGGTACAGTGCTCTCCCCTGCCTCACATGCAAGGTGCCCCCTGGCCGGAAGTCGGCCTCACTCCCTCCTATTGGACAATCCAGTTACGGGAGAATTTGATAATACTGGTAGGCATGTACACACACAGAGATGGGGGACATTTTTTCCAATCACACTTCTAGAGATTCTTTCATTATTTTTTTTCTATGTGGACCCAAAGATACAAAGACAAAGCATACTTAATAAGCGATATTTCTCTTTGTCATATCTAATAGCCTCAGCTGATATTCAAATGGAACATTTACTTTCTGATTCATATTAACCTATTAGATTCTGATTGATATAACCAGTTTGAAACTATCCTAGGCAAAAGCAAAGCGTTTTAATGAGTGTATATAGGAGTTCTTCATCTGGGATCTGTGAGCTTTAATTTATATGAAATACATATAGATTATGTAATTTTCTTGCTATGTGGTGCATTTTTCAGGAGCATATTTGGAATATTGCCTTCATGAGGATTTGTGAGTCCTCAAAGTTTAAGTGTCATTGCATATTTGGCTTTGCCTTCTCAGATCATATTCATTGTTAGAATCCTTGAATCCAAGTGATTTCAGGTAATGAAATCAGTTGCCCTCAGCCAACCCCTGGAATCCTGGCCCTGAGGCGAGCACCACTCTTCATACTCCAGAGATCTCTCTCTGTCCTGAATTCACATCCTCCCCATGAGACAAATAAGCCGTTGAGTTTCTTTTTTATTTAATGAGACAAACAAGCTGTTGAGTTTCTTTTTTATTTAAACAGTAAGAAATTGTAGCACAGTGACTTAGCAAATGTTCTCAACCAGGAACATGTCAGGAACAGCAACGAATAGACCTTACACATCATGTACACACCTCTGATCAAAAAGGGCGACACACATTCCCTCATCTGCCCTTAGATTGAAGGCAAGGCGCACAAACCCTAGGGCACAAATGCAGATTGGAGAGATGTGCTAAAATGTGGCCAGTTAAGAGAGACAGGGCTGGGGGCCTGGAGGAAGAAAGAGGGGAGAGAAAATAAAACAAAGAGAGTGACAGTGTCTTTCAGGTGGGTCTGGGGACACTGAGGCAGAAAGATGCCTTGCAGGCTGGTCCCCTTAGGAGGCCACCAGAAGTCTTCAAAACACAGATGTTCCCATGAGCAAGCACAGCCAGCAGGGTGTGTTAACTACGGGTGCCGCCAACCTGGTGGGCACTGGAGCTCAGGCATTACCGACTCCACCTGCCCCACTTCCCCCCACTCAGCAAGCCCTCCTGAGCTGACCTTCATCCAAGTTCCTGGAGGACAAAGACATTTATGGGACATGGGTGTCTCCAATTTACTTTGGCCAGTATTATTGCTAATTTTTCCCTTTTCTTAGTATTAGTATATTCATTTTAGGTAAAATAAAGTCTATTTCTCTGCTTTTGGACAGGGGTCAGAAAAGAGGAATTGCTCAGTAGGTGGGGTTTTGTTTGTGTAACTCATCTGGTGACTGATCTAGCTCCCACTGAAGTCAGTGTCTCATGTCTGATGGAATTTGTGCCTAGAACTTGAGAGAGAGAGAGAGAGAGAGAGAGAGAGAGAGAGACACTAAGATAAATATTAGAGCAAAGATCACCACAAGAAAAATATAAAATTAGTTTCTAAAAATGTAAGGCTTCAATTTAAAATATAATTTAGACTTGACACATTAAAATCTAACAACACTAAACTGGTTATTGAGTATTACAAAATAAGTAAAAAATTGAGGTAGTGCATTACTCTTCTACAGCCAACTTATCTGATCATGACTCCTTGTTTCCTTCTTGTCCTTAGAGTTCAATGCACTCAGAAGCATGGAAGAAATGTCCTGCATTCAGCATCCAGTTAGTGGGGAAGGGTGGGGCTACTGAGACAGTGTCTTACCCTTAATTCAAATAATAAATACAATTTTAAAACTCACTCTTTACAGCGGTACAAAGCCACCATGTCACTGATTTACTCACAGTGATAAAAAACACCAAAACATGTACACACCTCCCCCTTACCCCCAGGGACTTCCTGCTTCCCTCCAAATCAACTGATCCTCCCTGCCTCCTGGTGCCACCACTCTCGGCCGGTGGCTCTTTCCTTCCCTGGCACAGGAGACATTTTGTAAGCCTTCAAACAAAGACCACATTTTTAACAAAAGCCCAATCTTACTCCTGCTCCCGCCTCAATCCAGCTATTAAATAATTCCCCAAACTGTGCTTCAGGGAACAGGCGTGCATGACTAAGTGTGTGTATGTGGCAGTGTGCTTGGGTGGGAATGATTTGAATATGTGTGCATGAGCACACACGTATGTGTGACTGTGAAAATGTGTCTTGCATGGTTGTGTGATTGTATATATGTGTATGCATGTGTGCAACTGTGCATGTGTGTCTGTGGGAGTGTGCACAAGGCTGTGATTTGTGCATGTACTGATGAGCCAGCATGCCTGTGAGAGTGCCTGTGCCTGTGTGTGACTATGTATATGGGAGTGTGCATAAGTGCTGGTTTTTGCATGCATGCATGAGTCTGCATGCGTGTGACTGTGTGATTGTGTACATGAATGTGTGGATGCCTGTGTGGGGGCCAATGTGATGCACACCCGGCCTGCAGAGCACAAATCTGTGACAATCCACCTGTGCGGTGACAATGGGGCAGTGCTTTCCCAGACGGCTCATTGACAGGACTCCTGCGGCTGGAAACTGGAACACTGTTCCCCAGCTTTCCAGCTCCCAACGTTGGAAGAGAGCAAAATCATAAACGTAGCACCATGACCCACTTCCACAATGGCAGGCACCCTCTGTGGCCACCCACCCTCACAGCGGTCACCTACAGAAAGAGGAGGGGTATGCAGGGGTGGGGTAAGGGAGGCAGGGCACGGGGCAGTGGAGCCCTGGGACCTGTAGGAATCCTGGTGGGAGCTGGGGCATCTTTACAGCTGCCTACTCCCCCGTGAACTGCAAGGACAGCTGAGAAGCCAGGAGTAGGCCCAGAGGTACAGAGGGTGGACTTCTAAGATAGAGGCCACATTGTGCAGGAGAGAACACTCATCTGGCTGGTGAGTGGAGTGGGCAGGAGGTGTGCTGTGGGAGCTGGACAGGGCTGTCTGTTTGTCCCACGAGTGCCTACTTGGCATACAGGTGTCCACGAGGTGGACGGTGGATGTCACATGAGGCTGTGCTTTTCCCACCAGTGCGTCCACTTGGGGCAGGTGTGCTGGAGGTCGGCTGCAGGAGGCCGTCCAGTCCCCGCAGGCCTACCTGGTCCGCGTTCCCAGGTGGAGCTGTGAGTTCAGGAGGAGGAGGTGGGCGTATAGGCCATCCTGCGGCACCAGGCTCAGCTGGCTCACAGCGTGCTCAGGTGCGGCAGCGTGTCCAGGCGCCCTGTGCGGTCCCGCGCAGCAGCCGCAGACTCCACGCCACGCAGCCACTCCGTGCATTTGCGCACCAGACCCTCATCCACCACCTCGGTCTCCTCCTCGTACTCCACATCGTCATACTTGTGCCGCTCGTTGAGCAGCGATACCTTAAGCACCGGGCGCAGGTCCGCGGGTCGAGGGCCGGGCACCGGGGTCTGCAGACCGCCAGGC